ACTCACACAAATCTTGTTCCAGATTATCTGCATCACTTTATGGTTGCCAAATTTCTCGGTGGTGATGGATTGTTTCATCACAATCCCACAGATCCCTCCCCATCTTGCACGTTTGTCACGACACTCATTCCACGCATTACGTAGATGTAACTAAACTTACCGAAGCCCTGCCGACCTAATACGAGTAACAGCAAGCAAAAACCAGGCAAGGCAAAATGGAAATTCAACAAATAGCTAATAAATTATTACTATATTATGGCACGTAGTGCGCTCCATAGTTGTCAAGTGTCACTTCTACTAATATTCTTGAAAAATTTGTTAGCACTTAAACTCCGTACGTCAAAGATATTTTACATTCCCTCTGCTTTAAAGAAAATTTATTTTTTGTAGATAAATTTATGTGCTAAGTGCCGATTATGGATCTCCACAACTTCCTTTTCTTTATACTTCTAAGCAAAGTTTTTCACCTTGCTATCCCCAGTCTCATTGGACACTTCCACATGGTGTAATGGTGAGCAAGCTTGACTCACTTGATCTATTACGACAGAGTAGTGAGTTTGATCCTCACTGGGTGCCCATACTTTCGGCCTTGTGCCACATTTTATTGCTACTCTTAGAAAATTATTTGAACACTTCCACGTGGTGTAATGGTTAGAAAGCTTGTCTTCCTAGATCAATTACGGCTGAGTAGTGAGTTTGAGCCTCACTGGGTGCCCCATACTTTCGGCCTTGTGCCACATCTTATTGCTACTCTTAGAAAATTATTTGGACACTTCCACTGGTGTAATGGTTAGCCTTGTCTCGCTAGATCATCTCAATTGGTGCCCCAAACTTTCGGCCTTGTGCCACATCTTATTGAAAAATTATTTGGACACTTCCACGTGGTGTAATGGTTAGCAAGCTTGTCTCACTAGATCAATTACGGCTGAGTAGTGAGTTTGATCCTCACTGGGTGCCCCATACTTTCGGCCTTGTGCCACATCTTATTGCTACTCTTAGAAAATTATTTGGACACTTCCACGTGGTGTAATGGTTAGCAAGCTTGTCTCGCTAGATCAATTACGGCTGAGTAGTGAGTTTGATCCTCAATTGGTGCCCCAAACTTTCGGCCTTGTGCCACATCTTATTGCTACTCTTAGAAAATTATTTGGACACTTCCACGTGGTGTTATGGTTAGCAAGCTTGTCTCGCTAGATCAATTACGACAGAGTAGTGAGTTTGATCCTCACTGGGTGCCCCATACTTTCGGCCTTGTGCCACATCTAAGCTTAGAAAATCCCCAGACGTGATACACGCTTTGGTGATCATTTCTCTTTCTACCTTTCTATGACAAATTAAGTAGAATATTTTCCTGCAGTAGGTTGCCGTTTCCTTCTGCATTAGACTCCATGTCAAGGAAGGCGAAAGTATCCAGTCAGTCCTGGTATTCAACCCATAGCTTGGGGGAGAAGCGATCGATTCATACCCTTCTCAAGGGTCTTCATCCGTAAGTGCATATAACGAACCCGAATTCGAAACTCGACTCTCCAACTTCGTATTCCGATATCCATTACACCAAAGCGCACATCTTTCCCAAATAAACCATTTTTCTTATATTTCTCTATATTTGCTTTTAAATATATTTAGTGAAGGTTTTTTTTTAATAAATTCCAATTTTGAAAATGGTTGCTGATATATGTAAGTATTAATTTAAAAGTGTTCAGTTCTCTATTGCAATTGAAGAAACTTTGATTCTGTATATACATACATATATATATATATATATATATGTGTGTGTGTGTGTGTGTGTATATATATATATATATATATATATATATATAAAGACATTTTTATGTTTAACATTCTTTTTATAGATACAAGTAAATGCTCTGTTTATAATAAACAGTATTAAATAACATTTACCGACCTGAATGTCCGAGAAATTTTCAAAGAAAATATTCGTCCTTTGACAGGATTCGAACCTGCATCCTATACGGAACCGCCATTTTGAATATATATATATATATATATATATATATATATATATATATGTGTGTGTGTGTGTGTGTGTGTGTGTGTGTGCAGTACTTATTGGAAAGCGCTCAATATCAGTGACAGAGCTAATATATATAGTTGGATTAATGTGAGTTTGTGACCCTGAGTTTCACGGTGCTTGCGATCGTTATAAATAGCGTGAAAGCCAGGGTCACAAATTCACATCAATCAACTATATATATATATATATATATATATATATATATATATATATATATATATATATATATATATATATATATATATATATATATATATAAAGAAATATAGTCTTAAGGTATGCTATATTTATGGAATAAAGAGCTCAATATCAGAGATAGAACGTGTAAATATATATAAGTGAACATAAGTCAACACTTATCGGCGACAGTCTGTTTCATGACGATTGCATATAGCATGAAACAGACTGTCGCCCTGTTGAAACGTTGGTTTATGTATATATATATATATATATATATATATATATATATATATATATATATATATATATATAAGCAGAAATTTTCAAGCCAAAAGAAGAAAATGCTTAAGAAAAATATGTTTCTTATTTTTATATGGTTTTCAAATTTCGCTATCGAAGATTTTTCAAAAGTGCGTAGACATACCGATAGGTATTATTTACGATTTTGGACACAAGATAAATTAAAATATCTTACATCTATTTTCTGCATTTTTTTTAGGTAAAAGTGTTAAATTTATGCTTTCATTATACTAATGATTTCTCCCGCTTTTCTTTGTGTTGAGAAAAATAGAAATTATTTTGTTATTTGATGTTTAATTATTGGATTCAGTTTTAATATATGATATTGACTTTTAATATGTGACATTTTAATTCGTTTTTAACACGGGATATTTTTATACATATGACTATTATCAATTTATTTTGTTCTCATAATTCCTATGAAATAAGTTATTAAACATGAAATCATGTCGAATGTTGCCAAGTGATTAAAAACTTGAACATTACATTGTCTGATTGTTGGCTGATTTTGCTTAGCGGCGTATCAATCTTTATGTTTATTTAATACCGAAATCTCAATATTTTGTATGTAATTTTATATTTTCAACTACTGATATTTTATCGTAGTTTATGATCATACCAACGATGAACATTGTCTGGTGAAGTGGCTCATTCATAATCACGTGGTGAAACAAGAAATATTGACTTTCAATTTAATGGACGATGTAAATGTCTAAGAGAAAATAGAAAAAAAAACCCTGACATTTTGAAGGGAATCATCAAAAACTTTCCTTTTTTGGGAGGAGGGGGTATTCAGAGGAATACAGCGTTTCGTGTCTCGAATCAATTTCGTGACAGTTTAGGCAAATCTGCAAAGTTCTGGAATTAATAACTTCCCAGTATAGAAAAATCCTAATTTTAAAAGAATGATTGAAAAGGTTATTTTCAACATCAATTGATGTCATTTGAAATAAAGAAAGAGCGATTAGGTTGTACTGCAGATCAGGTGCCTTGTCACATTTCTTGTTGGGTCAAAAAAGTTGAATATTTTGGACAAAATGATGGCTATATACAAGTGAACAAAATTTTTGTTTACGATCTGTGTTGTCTGTAAACATCAGTTAATGGGGAGGTTATAATACTGTTTCTTCATCCGAAAAAACCTTTGATAAAAATTGCTTTGTGATTTCTTTTACTGATTCAGCAATTTAATTTCAATAATATCTTTTGTTTAGGGTTTGACAGCAGCTCTGATTTCTTCCCTATAGTCAAAAATACATTTAAACAAACTTTCGTGAGAAGAAATAACATACTGTGTGTGACAGAAAAGACAGCAAAGCAAATGATGATATTCTGTTTAATGAAGGGGAAAAATGAATGCTAAAAAGAAAAAAATATCATGTAAAATCCAATACTTCTTTATATTATCTCAACATAGATATTTTAGGAATAATTACAAAGAATCTGTCTATATTTCTGAGATGAGGTATGATGTACACTATTTACATTATTCGGACTATTCTCCTCATCTCTGTTACTATATTTATCACAACGTTTCGGCCGTTGTGCGCTCATGCCTTCTTTTCTGCTAAAAAACATGCAATGATAACAGCAAAAATTGCAATATGAGCACTTGTAAAAAATGATTGATGAAGACATTAATTTATAAGTCCCAGAAATTCATACATAGATGTCCTTAAGGACACAGTGGATAGAGGCGTTGATTAGATCCAGTGACAGGACCCAAAGAGTGTGAGTTCAATAGCTGGTTAAGGCGGTGGAGAACTTTGAGAGATAAATGATAACTGACATCCATTAGACATGGCACGTGGAACTAGAACAGTCTACCCCAGCGAGCGAAATAAAGGATTCAGTTCGACATTCCAACCACCTGAAGAAGGTCGGAGCGTACAACAGCCGAAACGTTGTGATAAATATGGCAACAAAGATGAGGACACTAGTACGAATAATGTAAATAAAGTAGAAAGAAACTAAAAATCTGATATCAAGGAAACAGAATTTGAAATAGGACAATCACAAAGGGAATGAAAGCTACATTTACATTGAAGCTTATACTGATATTGAAATCGAGACTGACTCAAACCTTGTTCAAAGGGGAAAAAAACTAAAAATTATTTTGCACTAGCTGAAGAATTGAGCATTTGAAGAATAAATAAGTCCGTCTCATATCTATCTGTTTTTATTAATTTATCTGTTTATTTTTTATTTTATTTTATTTTTATTTTTTTGTTACGGTTTATCAATCTTTTTAAGGCTATTTAAAGCCTAAACATGTTTCGGGATTCTAATAATGTTTTTAGAGATAGTAATGATTTCTTGATACAAGTCTTACTATATAACCCATTTTTGTGGAGGAGGAGAAGAGATGGGTTCATACTATTTTCAAGGTTATTTCCACGCAAGTGACTATAACGAACCCGACTAGAATTCGAACACGGCACTCTAGTTTCTCATTCCAAGCCTTTATCCATGATACCAAATGCGCATTCCCTGGCATTCCCGAGCGGTTACCCATCTAGCTACTGACCAGGTTCAGCGTTGCTTAATTTCAGTGTTCGAACGAGAACGAGTGCTTTAACGTGACGTGGTTGGTTGATTCTGTTTAGTGGTATATCAACACCTCTATGGGTTATTTAATGCCAAAATCTAAATATTTTGAACACAATTGCTTCAACTATAGATAAAATGTATTATGTCATTTTACTGCGAAATAAATTGTTAGTAATTCTACTATGATTATGCATTCTTGGTATTTTTTTTATATAAAATATAAAAATGTATTATTGGCATTTTCACCATTAAAATATTTTTTCTTACTTTCATAGCGTTGATATTTTTTTTTCTTTTTTGGGTGGTAGTGGGGAGACACTATTGATCCATAGCTGGACCATAACAAGTTTTACCATCCCAGTCAGGATGGACCAGGGATCAAAAACAATTAAGGGGTGGTTCTATCAACGCGATGTTACCGGAAGCCTATATCTACCTGAATCTATGAAGAGTGAAGGAGAAAATATTATTAGGTAAGTTAAAGAAAACAACGAGAATGCAATTTAATGATATATGAAAGTTTTGAAAACTCTTTTTTGACCGAACAGCGTCACTAGAAAAATGGATAGTAAATCTACATTTTGACGATACCAAATATTCCAAATTGTTTTCTATATTTTCAATTCCAGTGGATTATCATCCAAATTTCAACCAATACCATTACTATACATTGCAATACGTATCGTTTTAATCGCGCCCTTAAAAATTCTTTAAATTAATTCCAGCATTACGAAAGTGTATAGGAATTACAGATACAATGTGCCATTTCTTACCAGGACCTCATAACCGACAACACTGAAAAACATACGCCACACACATTAATCCACACATGCGTCAATAAAAGATTTTGAAATAATCTCGCATCAATTATCAAAAATATTTTTTTTAAGTTTGAATAAAAAAAAAGAACATGTTGAAATTAAAACAATTGGTAATTTCTTTCTCCTCGTCTGTTGCGATTTTAAGTTTTGGATGCAAATTCTGTGGTGGGGTGAATCCTAGTTCAAGTCAAGGGATTATCAACCTTTTAATAATCAAATCCTTCGAGTTGGTTGCAGCAAGAAGTACAACGTCTTCTGCCTTCAGAAACTAAAAATAGGCAAAACTTGGAAACATTTTTAATTGACAATTGCTTTCAACAAAGTAACGAAAGAAAAAGGAAATTTTCATTGACATAAATTGTGACATTGTCGGTCGTGATGCCATCTTTCCATGTCATATCATTCCGAACAGTATTTTATTCGCCATTTTGCATCCTCATTCCCATAAACGCAACATCCCGAGCCGGTCGCTACTCAAACGCTATTTTATGACAAATGTTCAGATTTAGTACCAATAGTTCAGAAATTTACAACTAGTATACGCCATATTAAACAATTTAATCTGTTCAAGTCAAAGATCAACTGTTGCCTACTTTCTTGTCCTTATATCTTCACTTCCTACCATTTTCCTTTCAATCGTATCACACAGCACCTTTACCATAACCACTCTATATTAAGTGGCTCTTCAGACATATATTGAGTCACCTTCAGTATGAAAAAACGTTTTGGTGTTAAGAAGTAGAACCATAACTTCTATATATTCTTCTGCAAGAGAATATTATTTTAAATAATATGGTAATATCAAAATAAGCCTTTCCATAAGAAAATTCATTAACTTCCTGTTTCTCTGTCAAACAACATTTCTTTTCTTCCTTTGCGCATACTGAGGAGCTTCCATTTAAAAAAAGATGATTATAATTTCAAAAAGAACTCCACCAAATTTCCATGGGTTTCAGATTTTATAGCTAAAAAAACAAAACAATGCAAAATCGGAATTTCGAGAATTAGTTACAAAATTAAATTATTAAAGGAATTATATTTTTACCAATGCTTGCTGATAGATAAACGTTTCCTTTTTATTTGCTGTGTCCTTTCAAGACATAGATAATCATGACCCCTTCACCTCGACCTGCCCTTTGTACCTCTAAGCAATATTTGATTATTTACTACCATTTCTGTTCCTGCTATGACACTCACCTCGATAGAAGACAGTCTACTCGCTGTTTTCATCTGTCCATCTTTTCTTTAGCAGGCTCGGTGAGTGATACATTCTCCAAGACAGTATTTACATTAGTCGGACTATTGTCCTCATCTTTGTCGCCATATTTGTCACAACGTTTCGGCCGTTGTACGCTCCGGCCTTCTTCAGGTGGTTGGAATTTCGAACTGAACCCTTTATTTCGATCGCTGGGGTAGACTGTTCTAATTCCACGTGCCATGTTTGATGGATGTCAGTTATCAGTTATCTCCTGCTAATTTTCCCTCTGAAATAAAGGGTTCAGTTCGAAATTCCAACCACCTGAAGAAGGCCGGAGCGTACAACGGCCGAAACGTTGTGACAAATATGGCGACAAAGATGAGGACAATAGTCCGACTAATGTAAATACTGTACATAATACCTCATCTCAGAAATATAGACAAATTCTCCAAGACTTCTTTCCGTATAATGTGATCTGAAATGTTTTTTAAATGTTTTTCTTTTCTGGAATAAATATTAGAGACTTTATAGCTCTCACTGTATTTAGAACTTATTAATTTCCCGCCTATTCTGTTCAAAATATCGGCCTTCTTTTCCTTGTTTCTAAGTAATTTTTTTCGGTTTCTTAATACTTTGCTTAGATTCTGAAATCGAAATTCGAATTTCGGTGTCATAATTTCTGTCATCTCTTAGTATACTACCTGACGAATTAAATTTAAACATTGAAGTTTTAATGTTCTTTTAGTTTCCATTTTTTTTAATCGTTACTTCACCACTGCCTACCTGTTCTGTCTGTGGTTATATCATTCGTTGGTAAACACACATCTCCATTTCTTTAAGTCTCAATAATAAGATCACCGAAGTTAAGCAACACTGAATGGGTGACTGCTTGAAAGTACCATTTGTTTTAAGTTTAGACGTGTTAGTAGTTTCATACGTAACAGCTCGAAATTGGAGACCCGAGTTCTAATTCCAGTCAGGTTCGTTATATTAAGTTAAGTGCAAACACCGTTGGGAAAGGTATAAATTTATCCCAACTATTGGTTAATTAGTATAACTTGTATCAGTAAAAAATTATCTAAAAATATTTTATTATACAAACTAAAAATATTTACTGGCTTTAAATAACCTGCAAAAGGTTGATAAGCCATAAAAACAAATCAGTCAAGTCTCAATAAGTGAGGAGACTACGCAATATTCGTTGCCGTATAGGAAATTAGATATGACATAACCGACTAGGGTATAGCGATAAACTACATCCAGTAGCAACGCTTTTGATCGGGAAGGTCTCAAGGAGCGTGAAACAACCCCTTAATTGCTGCTGTTCCCAGGTCCACCTTGACCTGGACGGTAGCACCTGTTAGGGCCCCAGCTATGGGCAAACAGTTTACATCGAAACTAGGGTCAAATCAGTATAAAATTATAAAAATAATTTTTATAGTAAAAATACGAGCAATACCAAGAAAATTACCAATAATAGATTTGACTCCCGACAAAAACACTCTTTACAAAAATACGTCAATGAAACCTAATCTACAAACTTATTTCTTTCAAAGAATAAATATTCTATTCATACGAACTTATTCTAAAAATCTTGACTCATTGATGTTGATATGCCGTAAAACAAAATAAAGTATAAACCATATGACATAACTGTTTAGCGATCTTTGTTTCTAACAAAATTTTCCTGTCTTTTATACTTACAACCATTTGTCTACGAAAGCTCGACATTGAAGTTAGTACTTCACAGGAATTTGAACCCTGATCGCTCTTATCAAAGATATTATCAATGTCATAAATATTTCTGCTTCTTTTGTTTCTTCTTTTCTATATTTATTTATATTTTTGCTGTAAAACATTTTTACAGTTGCCGTTCTCACATCAGATCCTTACCGAAAGACACAGAAAAGGATGAAAGAACTTTCCAGTCTGTCGATCAATCAGTTGAGGTCAGTGAATTCAATATTTTTCGCGAACTCCTCCTGCCCGAGCAGAAAATACCAAGAATACCTGCCGATATTACCAATAAGAGAGTTTATCTGGTCTAATGAACAGACCGTCACGCCGGAGGACACCCACAAGGTCTGCTTGAAATATTATTCGTCACTTGACTTAGTGCAAACCTTTGCCGATAAACATTCTGTCTGCAGGTTGTATATCATTCGCGCGGCTGGATAATGTCGGTGTGATAATGTCGGCTGCAAATATTTTCTTTTGTAAAATGAAGCAATGTGAAGCAGATTCAAACACTGAAGCTGCTGAACGCAATTATTTCATTTTTTTTCGCTCTTCCATTGTCGTTTGTTTCAAATGTGTGTATATGTTTGTTTTTAAGGGGATTATCAGAAAGAAAGGGTGTCTGAATGAACGAAAAATACAACAAAAAATGTTCAGGAAATAGGGATAAATATAGCAATTAATTTTCATATTTTTTCATATAATATTCGTATATAATTGTTCATATATTTTTCATATTTGATATTGCTACATCTAGTTTGGTTTGGTTTACTTTGTGTCACAGCATATTAAACTCAATCAGTTATTTAATGCCGACAAGATTTTTTAAGGATAGGTTCGTATGAATAGAACATGTATTATTTGTAAGAAATCAGTTTGTAGAAAACGTTTCATTGACGTATTTTTGTAAAGATGGTTTTTGTCAGGAATCAAATGTATTGCTGGTAATAATTATTTTTCAAAAAGGTATTGCTGGTAATAATTATTTTTCAAAAAGGTATTGCTGGTAATATTTTTCAAAAAGGTATTGCTGGTAATAATTATTTTTCAAAAAGGTATTGCTGGTAATATTTTTCAAAAAGGTATTGCTGGTAATATTTTTCAAAAAGGTATTGCTGGCTATATCACTGAGATGATTACTTACACTGTTTACATTATTCGGATTGTTATCCTCATCTTCATTGCCATTCTTTCAATGACACGATAGTCCAGTAGATAAAGTCCTTGGTTAGTATTTAGTGACTACACCAAGGAGTTTTGAGTTCAATACCAG